TTCTCTCTGGGTACTGTTGGCTAATAGAAAACGACACCCAGGAAAAGCAAGAGGAATAACTCTTTAATTTCACTTCCTCTCATTACGTGATTGGCCTCTGCTGATTATTTTCTGACTTCGCAACTTTGACAGCAAAGGCTCTGTTGAGCTTTTTTGGCTCAGTCTCCCCTGATCTAGTGCCCTCCAAATGAGTTGGACTGCAATTGGCGTAATACTTTGAAAAGAAGCCAGGATTTAAAAAAAAGAGCAGCCTGACTGCAGGGCGATCTGAGGGGAAGAGAATGTAATTTTCGACCACTTTTACGCTGCCGAGATTGTTGCGCAGTTAGCAACAGAGAATTGCCCCCAATCAGCAGAGAATCCTCCCAATCGGTATTATTAGGGGAGAGAAAGATGCTTTAATATGTCTCTCTCCAGATCTTCCCTGAGTCAGAATTGTTTTCATTTCATCTTTCCATCCTGATAGCTCCCTAGTCAGGGTTCCTGAGAAAAAGTTTCTGTGCTACCTACAAAAATATGGCTATCCTGAGGCAGAGGGGAATTAATAATACTAATTAGCATAGGGGAAGAAGGATCACCCTGAGGCTATGAAATCTGCCTGCCTGCCTGCCTGCTTTCTCTTTCCTCCTTCTCTCCCTCTCTCTCTCCCTCCCCACAAGGTGAGTCTGGAGAACTTACAACATTTAACACAATAAAACCATACAAATACATGTAACCTTTGGCTTAACAACACTTCATTTAGAGACTAAGTTACAACGGCACTGGGAAAAAAAACAAAAACTTACGGCCATTTTTTTTACAGTTGTGACCGTTGCAGCATCCCCATGGTCACGTGATCAAAATTCAGATGTTGGCCAACTGACTCATATTTATGACAGTTGCAGTGCCCCGGAGTCACGTGATCCCCCTTTGCAACCTCCTTGATGAGCAAAGTCAATGGGGAAATCAGATTCACTTAACAGCCGTGGTATTAACAACTGCAGTGATTTACTTAACTGTGGCAAGAAAAGTCATAAAATGAGGCAAAACTCACTTAAGGGTTAGGGTTACTCATTGTGGTCATAAGTTGAGGACTACCTGTACATGTACCTAATAGCAATAGCACTTAGACTTAAATACCACTTCACAGTGCTTTACAGCTCTCTCTGAGTCAGCCTCTTGCCCCCAACAATCTGGGTCCTCATTTTACTGATCTTGGAAGGATGGAAATTTGAGTCAACCTTGAGCCTGATGAGACTCGAACTGCTGGCAGTTGGCAGAATTAGCCTGCCATACTGCCTTCTAACCACTGTGCCATCATGGCTCTTCCAAATATAAATGTATCCCAGCGGTTACGCATGTTCATGATAAGATACAGTCTGACACAGAGTTTCCTACATTTAAACTTTTTCCCAGTTATGGGCTAAAGGGACCAAGAACTGCAGAAAATCTACAAAACGGTAAGGCAAACTTGGATGCAGTGATTGCCATCCAAGAATCTTAACTGGACAGGTTTCTCCTATTCCGTGACAGTCAATCCAATGGAAATTCTGCAGGCTTTTGAAAGGCAAAAAAGAACAATAAATTCCACAGCTCTGAGTAATGTCCCGGGCTCCTTTTGAGCCAGGCCAAAAGAGCTGAAATAATCTGTCCAAAAAACATGAATGCTACAGCTTATATCCCTGCATCACTGGTACTTTTGCCATCTTCCATTCTTCAAGAGGCCAATCAGTCCTCAAGGGGACTGACTATTTTTTTTTCCTCAAGAGAGCGCTTATTTTTAGATTTTATCTCTTGAGGGTCAGATCAGAGACACTGCTGGAAACCATCTCAGTTGGTTCTGTCAAGTCTCTCTTGCTTTGCCCTGGAATGTCAGAGTCATCTCTTGTCAATCTCTGTCCATTCCCAGTAGAGATGAGCATTTTCAGTGTCTAAACCAGAGATGTCCAATCTTGACAACTTTAAGACTTGTGGACTTCAACCCCCAGAATTCCCCAGCCACCTGTGAACAACCCTGATCTAGACCTTGCCTTTCTCTGACTTTTCGTTGGATACTTTGTAAGATAAACGAAGAAAATGGATCAGTGGAAATTTCATCCATACCTTAGGACGTCATCCACACTTCATTCTTAGGGAAGTGTGGAAACCAACATCTGCATTTCCTGTGTTAGATGAGGAGAGCACACCTTTCTCCTTCTGTCCTGGCCACTTTCTACAGAGGCACAATTGAGAGCATTTTAACAAACTACATCCTTGTTTGGTTTGGTGTCAGCAGCGCCTCAGATAGAAAGTCCACACAGAGAGTGGTAAGGACAGCCGAGAAGATCATAGGAAGCTTGCTTCCCGTTATTCAGGATACTGCTTATAAGTGCTATGTGCTTACAGCTCAAAACATTATTAGACACCCCACACATCCACTTTACAGTCTGTTTCGGTTGCTCCCCTCTGGGAGGAGGTTTCAAAATATTTCCAGCAGGACTACATCTCTTGCCATGTACATGTATACACCTGAACTAGACTGTGTTGTTTCTCTGTGTCATAGAATATATGTGGGTATATGCATAATTTTGTATTTATTTTATCTATCTATATCCATGTTTATGTAGAGTATATTGGAGGTGGTAGCCCTTTGAGAGCTGCATGCAATGAAATTTCATTTTAAATGTATGTTGATTAGTGTACATTCAAAGTGACAATAAAGTTATTATAAGTCTTAAGTCTAAGTCATGGCTTCTTGTCTGCCCCAGAAAGTAAAGACCATTGGATCCAGATGAGCTTTACTTGAGAAGAATTCCATCACTTGTGCATTCATAAGTGGCAGAGGCCTTATTCCATCTGGCCTCTTGGACCACTAGAGGTGTCCTTAACTTACAGCTGGTTGCTTAGCAACCATTCAAAGCTTACGATCTATCTGGAAAAGGGGATATGGCCCAGATGCAAAGTTCCAACCATCTCTTCCCCACAGCCATGTGACTGCCATTATGGTCACCATATTTTATTACATTTTGACCGTTTTTATTACATTTTTGGTGGAAACCAGCAGTTCCAAATTTTGGCAGTGCTGCACCATAGCAAATGTTGAGTCAGTTAATGACTGGCCACAAAAGGCATCATAAAACTGGGTCGGTCCCATGATCATTTTGCAACCTTTATGACTTAAAGCTGTAATGGGCAAGTTCCATTATGGTCGTAACTCAAGGACTACCTGTACTGTTCTCCACTTTTACAATTTGTCTTTAAAATACCCAGGATTTTTTTTAAAAAAGAAACGTTGAACACATCTGAAAACTAGCACACTTTTTGCTTTAGAGGGATCACTTGTCCAGCTTGAAACCTTGTCTGAGTGGAGGGAGCCTTTCTTCCAGTTGACGCAACCGTTTTGGCCAGGCTTCATGAACAAGTCACAGAGCCTGGTGCTCAGGAGGGTTTCCCAGAGAACTTTCTAGAGAAAGGAGAAGGAAGAGATAGAAAAATCTGTTTTTTAAAAAATCTTTGAGCTCACCTTTCATGGAATCTAGTCCTTCTCCACCTACAACCATCCGTTTACAACAGTTTGAAGGCACTAAAAAAAGTGACGACAATTTTTCACACTTAACGACCGTTGCAGTATCCCTGTGATGACCAGGGGCATGGCACAGAGATAACACAGTCAGCTGGCAGTTCAAACAACCCCTTTATTTCTTCAAATTTCCCTGAATGCTCCCACGTTTCGTGCAAGTCCCAGAGCAAAGTGATGACAAACCTCCACGCACACCTCAAGCAGTCTCTGGCTGCAAATAGTCCAGCCCAGCGCTGTGTACACCGAGGCTGCATAGCAATAAATCCAGCAGAGCAAATCAAGGAGTTCAGGAAGCAGAGGATCCAGGTAATTAGTCCAGAAAACCAGAAAGAATGCAAATGTCAAATGGAAAGTTCAAATGTCGGCACTTCACACTTCAGGAACTCTAGTGTTTGTTCCCGCCAAATGCCCCTCCCCATACAGTCTCCTTGAGTCTCATTCCCCAGGTGTGCCTTGTGAAGATGGGCGGGGTGCTCTCCTCCCGAGTAGCCTACTCAATCTGTGTTGTCCTCACCTTCTCTTCACTGTCTGTGTTCTTGGATCAGGAGGGGGGGTGAGCCTTGCTCCTTGCCTGAGCTCTGTCTCTCATGTTCATCCTGTTCCTCCCTGTCTACAAGCTGTCCTAATCCTGAAAGGCCTTGGGCTGACTGGTCCTGCCCTTCTCCATTTTCCTCTGCAGCCAGTGAAGCCTCCCCCTCGATCACTGTCAGCTTAGGTTCCAGCTCATCTTCCCCCGCAGATTCAGGCTCCGTTGGGGCATGACGCTCCCGTTGTCACGTGATTAAAATTTGGACGCTTGGCAAGTGGCACACACTTAGGATAGTTGCAGTGTCCTGGGATCGTGTAATCACCTTTTGTGATCTTCTGACAGGAATGTCAATGAGAGAGCCAGGCTTACGTAATAATAACTATGTTATTTCCTTCACAACAGCAGTGATTCACTTAACCGGTGTGACAATGAAGGTCGTAAAATGGGGCAAAACTCAACAGTTGTCTTGCTTAGCAATATAAATTTTGTGCTCAGTTGTGATTCTAAGATGAGGCCTCCCTGTGTCTGTTTTTCATGGAAATTGATTAAGTTAATGGGTGTCATTTTATTATTTTTGACTGAGTTGGAGCTCCAGATGTTTGTTTTCAGATCCCTACAAAATATTTTGTGCCTTTTTCACTTCTTAATGTAGCTTTTTATTACCTTAGAACATTTTAATGCGAAGAAAGCTGCCAGCAGCAAAAGTACTAGCATTATGGTAATAATTTTTTTCCTTTGTTCCTCCTTTCATTCGTCCTCGGCAGCAGTAAAATTTACATCCTGATATGTTTCTTTATTTCCCACAAATAGACAAGTGCTGTTTTCAGCAGCATTTTTTTTTTTATCCCCGGCACAAATCTTAAGACAAGCTTACTCTCAGCACTGTGGGTAGATACTTTATTGGTTTTTATTGTTCCTTATTTTTTCTTTCAGTTCAACTTCGTGGGGAAACTTTTGGGCCCGCGTGGCAATTCTCTGAAGCGCTTGCAAGAGGAGACATTGACAAAAATGTCAATATTGGGAAAAGGATCCATGAGGGATAAAGCAAAGGTAAAATTGCCGGCTGAAGATCATTAGCATGCACTGTACTGCTGTGTGTGTTTTTTCCTCACCAATCCTAGGGTAGCCTGGGGAGAATTAAAGCAAACACAAGTCAAGGTATATATAATGACCTATCCCGATTTGCATTCTGCATGCGTTTTGCTCTTCCCACCATGCATTCCTTGCCTCGGGAGAAAATTCCGTTTTTTTACATGCCTTTTGAGGATAGTTTGAATAGACTGTTGACTGCCCAATCTAGTCTCCAAATTTTTCCTCATGAACTTTTAGCAGTGTACAAAATTCTTGCCACCATGGTACAGGCACTCAAAGCTTTATTTCATTTAGGGAGCCATTTTGGTTTAGGGGTTAAGGTCAGTTAGAAACCAGGAAATAGTCCGCCTTAAGCATGAAAGCTGTCTGGGTGACTTTGGGCCAATTACTAGGAAACTGGGAGTTCTAGTCCTGCCTTAGGCCTGGAAGCTGCTGACTGACTGGTCCAATCACCAGGAGATGTTGAGTTCTAGTCCCATCTTCATCCTGAAAGCCTCTGGGTGACCTTGGTCCAATCACCAGGAGATGGTGAATTCTAGTTCCACCTTAGGCATGGACAGCTGGTGACGTTGGGCTAGTTATACACTCTTCTTTGGAACCTGTATATAAAGAACTTAGGATTTAAGAAGCATGTGGAGTAGCAAAGATAATTATTTTGTGACAATGGAAATATGGCCTTGCCCCAGACTTAGTCTTGGTCTGATGCATTCTTTCTTAACCTTGGCAATTGGACTTCAGCTCCCAGAATACTGTAGGCAGCTTTCTGGGAATTGAGATCCACACATGGTAAAGTTGCAAAGTTTGAAAAACATTGGAATTGATAACGTGTTAATGTGTTCTGTTTTCATTCAATGAATCAATATTCTGCATATATATAATGGGAAGTCTCATCACTTATATTCAGTGAAGTCAAGACTTAATACTGTCTTTAAAAACTGGACTCTAATGTGTGTATTTTTTTCTTTTCTTTTTTTATTTCCCCCCCTTGTACTTCTGTATGTAAAATGAGGAAATAAACAAACCCCACCTGCCTCTCTTTGTCAACAGAGTTCAGACTTGTGTGGATAAGGGCTGGTGAATATTGTAAAGCTACAAGGAGATCCACTTAGATTACGATTAATCATACTGTCTAGCACAGCTCTTGATTATCTCAAACTCTGCTCTTCTAAGTCTTCTTATATTATGTAGATTGAAAATTCTGAGCAAATCAGACCAGGATTGCATATTCCTCTTAAGGTTGCTGGGCAGTTCAGTTAAAATGCATTGCAGGAACCTTGGCACTTATCTGTTGTCAGTCCAAAGTTGCTTTTTCAAGAGGCAACTGGACTTTCTGGTTTTTCTTTGAAGACATTTCACTTCTCATCCAAGAAGCTTCTTCAGCTTTGCTTGGAAGGTGGGAAATGGAAGGATTTATACTCTTTACTGACAGCTGGTCATTTGCATCCTTTTAAAGTGTCGATGAGGCCTGCATTTCAAAATGAACTGCAAATGGTTCCTGTTGTCTACAGTTTTTTTCTGGAAATCCATTCATACTCCTGCACCATTCAAAAGGCGTTTATCCCAAAGTGCATAGCTAAATGTCTCTGGGGATTCTCAGTCAGCCAGGTCTTGGTTGTCCCAAATGTGCTTTTGACCAACTGTCTGCAAGCAGTATAAAAATCCTTCCATTCCTCAGCATCCAGTCAGAGCTGAAGAAGCTTCTTGGATGAGAAGTAAAACATCTTCAAAGAAAAACCAAAAAGCCCAGTTGCCTCTTAGGGGGCAAAAAAAAAAAAAAAAAAGCACCTTTGGGCCAACCATGACCTGGATGACTGAGAATCTCCATAGATATCTGTTGTCTAAACCAGCAAGGAGTGTATGTAAAATCCTCTTGTTCACTTTGCTTGACAGCCCCCCACATTAGCACACATCTTTATTACAGTTTTAATGTGTGCTTTTATCTTTCAATCCTGACTGCTCTTTAGACCATCTAGGAGAGGCTGTGAGGCTTGTTTACCAGGTGGTTTGTTTGTTTGTGTATCTCTCTGCTTTGTTCACTCTTAAATTGTTCAGGATATCAGGGCTTGAGCATTGTTTCCCATGGGAGACTATTAGAGCCTAATAGCTCTCACTGTTAAAAAGGATTTTCTGAAAGCTGGCTTGGCTTTTTTTTCCAGATTAAATTTATTACTTGCAGCTCCTTCTCCGTTCTGTTTGTGGACTTTGCTAAATTGCTTAAAAAGTAAAGAATTCTCTTCATCTTTTGAAAGCCGGCTTCATTAGGTACAGGTAAGGCAGCACTAGTATGCAGACAGGGGACCAAACCCCAGTTCATCTTGATGCCACAAATAAAGAAACGGGAGAGGCTAATAAGAACAGAGACTTTATATTTTTCTTATTCTTCTACCCGTTCTTTGTTACAAGCCTCAAACTACCCATCTTTTGATATGTGTTAACTTCCCCGATTTATGTGGACCTGTCAATTGAGCCCATTATTTTTGCTATACATTTCAGAATAAAAAGATTGTTACCCAGAAATAGTTTCTGAGTGACACAAACCTAAATAGCTCGTAAATAACAATGCAAACCAAGAGCAAATGCAAGAACTTTTTAACCGGATCAGACAAATGTGCGTCTGTGGTCCTTGTTGGAAAAAACAGTGTAGCCTAGAGCAGTGATGGCGAACCTTTTCGGCACCGAGTGCCCAAACTGAAATGCGTGTGCCGGACCACCACGTGCATGCTTGTTTTGGGGGCCATTTTCGGACCGTTTTTGGCCTGAAAACGCCCCCAAAACGGCTTGTTTTTTTGGGTATCTTTTGGGCCAAAAACAGCCCCAAAATGGCCTGAAAAAGCCCAGAAAATGGCCTGAAAAAGTCCTGAAAAACTGGTTGTTTGGGGAGCATTTTTCGGGCCATTTTCTGACAATCTGGTGCCCACAAAGATCAGCTGGCTGGTGCATGTGTGCATTGGAAACCAGAAGAGCAGCTGGTGGCGGCGCACGTGCCCACTGAGAAGCCTCTGGGTGCCACCTGTGGCACACGTGCCATAGGTTCACCATCACGGGCCTAGAGTGTATTTTTAATACGCCCTACCTAGAACAGTAATATAGAAGCATTTCAGAACATACGTAGACTAGAAACGTAAAAGAGGCCATCATGGGTTTCTGACTATTCAGTATACCAGGAGCTTCTGATGTACTTGCGGGTAAGGAATGTCCTTAAATGCCCCTCTTCAAATCATTAGTGATACTGTTCTGTAGTTCTAGTTTTGTTTTTTCCTAATCAGCACCTATTTTACAAGCAGTTTTTAATCTAATTCTCCATGAAGCATAATCCTGTATGCCCAAACATTTATTAAAATAAACACAATGGCCCACCCCAGGTGCAGTGGAAAATGAAAGTGTGTGTGTGTGTGTGTGTGTAGGTATGTACACAAACACACATACACACATTCCATTTTCCAGTACACCTGGGGTGGGCCATTGTGTTTATTTTAATAAATGTTCTAGGTAGGTAGGTAGAAAGAATCCATGTTTTGAGATTGCTTACTTATTTATCACATATGTTGTAAGTAGATGGGGTTGAAATACCAAAAGACATATTTGTTCCAGGCCTTCCTTTACCTCACAACTTTTATCCTATCTGTGTGGTTCATCCGTGTTTACCTATATGTGTTGAAAGGGTCAGTGGCATCTGCTAAGCATCGCAATATTTCAGTTGCCAGGCAACAGAGATAAGATAGAATGGCAAAACAGAGGAAGTAGAGCAGAAATAGAACACTTGGTGAGGGAAAAGTGTTGTGACAAAGACAAAAACTTAAAGCAGACTTAACGTTATGTGCTAGAGGTTAGTGGCATTTCATAGTTGGGGAGAAAAAAGGATCAAGGCCCGCCATGGACTCGTTAGGTGCCTCTTTTGGTGTGATCAAGTAGGGTGAATGAGGACGAAGGTTACCTATATTAAAGCCAGCACTAAAATACTTAGCTGATTGACAGCTGTAGAGAGCAACAGCTCAAACTGCCCAAGGAGCTGCTGATACAGTTCTACAGAGGAATTATTGAGTCTGTCATATGCACCCCTATAACTGTCTGGTTTGGTTCTGCAACCCAACAGGACAGACACAGACTTCAGAGAGTAATTAGGACTGCAGAAAAAACAATTACTACCCACCTGCCTTCCATCGAGGTCCTGTATACTGCACGAGTCAAAAAGAGGGCTGTGAAAATATTTACAGACCCCTCACATCCCGGACATAAACTGTTTCAACTCCTCCCCTCAAAACGACACTATAGAGCACTGCACACCAGAACAACTAGACACAAGGACAGTTTTTCCCTGAACGCCATCACTCTGCTAAACAAATAATTTCCTCAACACTGTCAAACTATTTACTAAGTCTGCATTACTATTACTATCACTATTAATCCTTCCTTTCACCCATCTCCTCCTACTTATGACTGTAACTTTGTTGTTTGTATCCTAATGATTTTCACTGACTGTTTCCTAGTATGATTTGATTGCTTATTGTGCTCTGTGGCTACCAATAAGTGTTGTACCTTATGATTCTTGATGAATGTGTCTTTTCTTTTTATGTACACTGAGAGCATATGCACCAAGACAAAATCCTTGTGTGTCCAATCACACTTGGCTAATAAAGAATTCTATTCTATTCTATTCTATTCTATTCTATTCTATTCTATTCTATTCTATTCTATTCTATTCTATTCTATTCTATTCTATTCTATTC